AGAGGAGCCTTGATAAGTGAGACGGCACATTTGTACAATCATCAACAACAATATATCAGAAATATTTATATCATTCTTCCACAATCTTGCATCTTCCAGATGTGTTACTGAGCAACTGAACTGTATTCAAAGACATCTGCAGGGTACCAGTTTGGGGAAAGCTGACTTATTTGATTTGCATTATGTTGAAAGAGGCATTCCCCCTTTTCTTTCACATAGTAGACGTCTTCAGAAATGACGCTTGCCAACACACACTCGCACACATGCGTGGCACATCTAAAAGCAAAGTATGTTTTTTACTTGAAGGCCATTTGTTTTTATTCATATGTAAATGTAATCAACCGATGAATGGATTAATCAAGTGAAATCCATACAGTTTATTGGGCTAGATATCTTTGCCTTAATAAAGAGATAGGAGACGGCTGGGCAATAATCTTTCCTTTCACTATAGATGGAAGAATAACAGATCATTAAGCAGGACAACCACTGTAAAGTCATCCTGAGCACAGATTCTCATTTCACTAGAATGAAAGCTCAAAGAAACCAAGAGAGGACCAGATATTTTGGGTCCTTCCAGATGATGCTGGCAGTCACTGGGCCTCATTCAGAGAAGTTTGCTGAGGTCCAGTCAAGAGATTCACCAGCGCTCCATGAAACCCTTCCCCACTGTGCTTGCAGACTTCCTCTCGTGCTTGGCCCTGTCTTGGAAAGTGTGTCGTGCCAAGGGGAAGCCCGTGAACGCCCACAGCCTGGCGGCACACCTGGGAGCCTCCTCCCGAGGTGCAAGCCGCATCAGGTGCAGCACAAAGAGGGTTGGCGCTTGCACCGCCGTCTCATGGGGCTCGGTTCCTAGAGAGCACTGCCTGGACACTGCCATGGCCACTGCTTCTTCCGGGTTTCTTTCATGCCATACAAATCCTGCAACGGGCAGACAAGAGGACTATGGCAACACTAGGAGCCCTCCATCGGGAAACGCTCTGATCTGTGCATGCCTTTCATACTCCCACATGTGTGCAGGTTCCTGTACAGTTTGCAGGTAACAATTGCCAACTCCATTTGGTTTGGGAGTGTGTGATTTTGCATTGATTGCATTAAAGTTGTGCATGTTCATATTCTGTAGTTTGGCATCAGAGTCAAATCCTAACCCAGAATTTTTTCAGTACAGGCCTCATTTAGCCCAGTTCCAGTTGCCTTGCATGAGTGGTGGCGCTGCCCAGAAAACGCAAGTCCGTTCTCAGTTTTATTGTTCTGTGATCATCCATTTTACTGTTAGATATTGTAAACTCGTTCTCTACTTGTTCACCGTCCAGAGAGCCCTGTAGGCTATGGGTGATATAGAAATGTATTAAATACATAAATACTCTGCATCTCAACCCTGCAATGTGCGTATGAAACCAGATGCAACAAATATGCAGCCCACCAAGTCGAAATTAAAGGCTGGCCAGGTGGTGCTGCAGGCGCTGCAAGGGAACGAGTACGTGAAGGAGCCCGGACTTCCGTTCTTCTACTCAAGGAGTCAGGAAAATCCCACATATTCCACGAAGCCTTCAGTGCTGACGCAATCAGTGCTCACTTCTGTTGCACCGAAGGGCATTTTGGTACCTTGTACCCTCTTCCTTCCTTCCTTCCTTCCTTCCTTCCTTCCTTCCTTCCTTCCTTCCTTCTTTTTCCCTACTTGGAATATAATGAACTTTTTTCCAGGACTCACGTATGACATTGAAAGCTTAGCTTTCCCAGTTAGCATCCCTCCTGTTAGTTTGGAAATCTGATACGAAGTGGGAGGCTTGCTGCCTGCTTTGGTTTCTTCTGCTATGCTCTGCCTGCAGAATTGTAAGCAAAATAGTTATTCGGAGACACCATTGGACCCCAGTATTCTCCCATGCAAGGGAAACTAAACAGTATAGGGTCTTTCCTGAATCCCCCCACCTCTCAGCCTTGGAAGTGGGGAGAATATGACAATACCCTTATTCTTACCCTCTGGAGTCATTATGCAGTTTTCTCTGCTGCTCAGAGATACGCCTTCAGTGTTTCAAAAGCTAATTGCTATTTAATACTGGGAAAGTGTCTCCTCATTGTAAGCCCTAAAGGTTTGCCATGATAGGATCTGGCTGATTCCTTTATCAGAGCTGAAATGGGTTGGTCTTTGCTGCATGCGCCTTATTTATCTCTGCACTGCAGGTCTGTTTTATGGGACACACTGTGTAAGGTTTTGTCTCACATTCTGAGGCAGACAAATGGCTGGAAAATGCTAACAAAAGGGACCGGGAAGCCTCTAGTTGGCTGCGCAGCTTGGAAATTTAAATGTGCTGGGTGATGATTCCAAGCAGCCAGGTGGGTCCAGTGACTAACCGGCAGGGGAACGTGGAAGGAGGCTGTCTTCTCGCCAGCCAGTGAGAAATAGCTCTGCTCATACTTCTCCTGAATCGACAGCAAGAGTGCGTGAGGGACAGATGCATAACCTGGCCACTTACACATGGTCCGAAAGAGGGAAATGCACAATCAAAAACAGAGCATTCATGTATGTGCTCATTTGTATGTTTGCATGCAAATTTAGTCAGAATGACTATAAGGGCTGTGGGGGAGCAGTGCTGCAGGAGGAAGGGTCCAAAGGGCTTCGACAAACCAGTAGCAAATCGGAGAAGGAGCTAAGCCTGGTCAGCCTCCAGTTACTTTCCAGCCTTGCCCTCCCTCATCACCGCAGCCTCTCTCTCTCTCTCCCCCCCCCCCGCTCTTGGAGGCCCCCATAGTTCAGTGGCAAGGTTCCTGTGTGGTTCCGGGTTCAGCGCTGGTTCTCACCTTAAAGGATTTCAGGTTCTAGGGCTGGCAAGCACCTGGTCCCTGAACATCTCTGAACCGGCTGGAGCCAGTGGGCCAGTACGCGGGTTCAGTGGGAGGCCTCCCTCCATGACGGTTGCAGAGGCCCTTGGATGGGCAAGCTCCTTGCAATATCTTCAGGCATCCCTGCACCTGCTGCTAGTAAGGTAGATCAGATGCGTATCTGAGAAGTGAGAGAACTGCTGGCTGAAGCCCCAGGCGCGCACTCTGGCCCAGGTGCGACTGCGACTCCGTGTGGTTTCTCGTGGCGTGTGCTGACTTCACCTCACGGTGGCATCTGCTCGCGGGTTGCCGTGAGCACATGCATGTTCGCGACCTCTCTTACTAGTATGATGGTCAGTCATCCCACGGAGCTGACTGGGGGGAGGTGCAGAACAGATAGAAGGAAGTACTTCTTCACACAACACACAATCCCAGCATTGTGGAATTCACAATGGATACTTAAAGGAATGCTTGCACCCATATATGCCCTCCCGTCCCTTGAGGTCACAGCAGAGGCCCTTCTCCGGGAACCCTCCATGAAGGACATCAGGAGGGTGAGCACCCGGAGGAGGGCTTTCTCGGCGGTGGCGCCCAATCTATGGAATGCGCTCCCCAGAGAGGTCCGCCTGGCACCATCATTATTTGTTTTTTGGTGCCAGGCTAAGACCTTTTTATTTAAAACTTATTTTAATTGTTAATTTATTTATTTAATTAGCTTTTCTTTTCTTTTCTTTTCCTTTTTTTTTTAAAATTTTTAGCCGAGAATGCACTGAGGTTTTATTGAGGTTTTATGGCACTGGGGTCTTATTGTATTGGGGTTTTAATGTATGGTTAATTTTTTTTTTTGGATGTTGTGAGCCGTCCCGAGGCTTATTGCGATGGGGCGGCATAGAAATGTTTTAAATAAATAAATAAATAAATCTGTGGCAATGGTCACCCATCTGCATGACGCTGGAAAAGGATTGGACAGTTTCTTGGAAGAAACCGCTATCAGTAGCTACTAATCCTGATGACTATATGCTGTCCCCAAGCTCAGCGATAGTAGCCTGTGTACGCCCCTTGCTGGGGCACATGGGCCAGAAGGTGCTGTTGCACTCACCTCCACCCTCCTACAGGCATCTGATGAACAAAATGCTCAAGTGCCTTGATGTACCTCAGCAGACCTCTTCTTACGTTCTTCTGTCTTTTGTGATTGATCCTGTATTGCCCTTGAACTAAAGCATAACCTGTATGTACCCACACACAACTTCCTGAGCCTGCTTCCTGAGCCTCTGTGCCCCTTCATCTAGGTTAGGGATGGGATGAACCCTGACGGGATCCAGAATCCATCCCTCCGATCCTTCACGGGCTTCCTGTTGTTCTCAGCTGGGTCTTCCAAGGAGAGCTGCATCAAGAGGAAGTCGGCAAACACTTCTGTAGCCCTGGCTGCACAACGCACAAACTTCTTTGGCACTAGCAGCAGCAGCAGCCCAAAAGTTGGCTGTAGCTGGCACAGAAGAGAGATGCCGCTTGCGCTGCGGTCACGGAGGGGCTGTTCTTGTGGAACGCGTGTTCTGGCGTTCCTCCGCTGGTAGCAGTGAGCAAGGCCACCAGAAATGGCTGCCAGCGTTTCCACTCACCGTACCCCTTTTCCGTATGTGCCGCTCTGCCAGAAGTGGCAGCAGCAGCAGCAGGGAAGAACATTTGGCTCAGGAATGGCAGCTGGGGAAAGGTGCTGGTTGCACAACCAGTGGTCTGTGGGCATTCCTTGTGTGAAGGGCCCTCCTGAACACAAGAGAATTCTGGAGAGGTGGGCTCCAAAGGAATTTTCCCAACCCTAGATATTTATTTATTTATCTAATAAACTTCTATGCCATCCCATTCGCCGAAGCCTCAGGGTGGCTCTCAGACATAAATAAACTTCGTTAAAATAATATAAATAAAAGGCATCGGATTCCACCTCTTTCTCAGTCCTCTCACTCAGTATTCCACAAGGAAGTGTTTTTTTGCCTGACATAGCACAAATGTAACTGAGTTTGGAAGATAATGCTAGGTTAGACTTCCCTATTCTTTGCCAAGTTCTCCTCCTCCCTGTGGCAGGCTGCCCATAAAATGGGATTGTCCACCATTCTGCTCTTGGTCTCTGGCTGACTGCTAACCCTTTTGATCTCACGGTCTTGCTTTTCCTTCTCTTGTGTTTGCAGAGGAGATCCTGAAAACTCACATTGCGCACTGGTGGTCCCCTAACGGCACAAGATTAGCATATGCAACCATCAACGACTCCCGAGTTCCCACAATGGAGATACCCATGTTCACGGGCAGCCTTTACCCTAAAGTGGAAACCTACCATTACCCGAAGGTAGGATAGAGTCAAGTGATGGTGCTAAGTAGCACTCAAGATTTTATTTATTTGCTTTTTTACTTTCACCTGATTGAAAATTGAGAGCATGCAACTGAAAGTGATGAGAAAAATGGAGCCATTTCTCAGTGGAGACTTCAGCTATGGTCTGAAAAGATCTTAGATCGGGCTGTCGATCAGCCCAAGAGTGAAATTCCATTGTGGAGGAGCTCTCAGGGCTGCATTCCAGGGTGGGGAGTGTGGAAACAAAAGGGACCAGGCCAAAATGCCCCCAGCGCTGAGCTATTTAGCTGAAAGTTCTTACCACCCCTTACTAGGCCTTGGGAGACTCAGCTTGACCTTTCAGAAGGAAAAACTTGCGCAAAGCCCCCAAAGGATCCAAGGCCAGGAGAAGGAAGAAAGTCCTTTACGGGAATCCTGGAGGGCAGGTTGTAGACCCAGGAGACGCTGATTTTGCCCCCAGGCACGAGGCTCTGTACCCCCTTCCTCAGTGCTTCGTTGAAAAGCTGTGGTCCGTAGCTCCTGAATGGGCAGAGGAGCGGTGGGGTGGCAAGCACCATCTAATGCTTTCCTTCTTCAAGTCACACACCTGCTACTTTCCATCCACATGGGAAAGGAGGCCTTTGCCTTGAGAACTGAGACAATCTTATGTGATAAAATCTGAGGCTTTAATGACCGCTTGGGCAGTAGCTACTTTGATTTCCATCTGAAAGATTAATGGAGATTTAAGGTTGGTTTCTAGCGCACCTGCACCCACGCACACACAGAGGAACCATCTGCACTTGCTTTGCATTCAGACATGCAGCCAGCCACATGCAGTGCAGAAAATCATTGTTGGAGGACAAGCTGACCCTTTGCTCTGGCTGCAGATTCTGTCCAGTCCTAAATACGCTATGCCCAAGCCAAAGTGTGAGAGAGTTTATATATCTGTACCTCATTCTCTTGATGATAAATACATTATGAGCCAGATCCAGTCTTAGTCAATGCAGCAACTTACGGGTTTCAACTTAACTCCCATGGATTTCAGTGAGCTAGACTGACTAAGTCTGGATCTGACCCTATGTTGTTTCTTGAACAATGTATTGACATTCCATCTCTTTTTTGTCTTCTAGGTTGGAACAGAAAATCCAACCATTTCCTTGCATGTCATCGGTTTGAATGGGCCTACTCATGATCTGGAAATGACTCCTCCTGATGACCCCAGGATGAGGTTTGTGCTGTTCTATGGACAAAGTGGAGAGAGCTTTCAGTCTTTCTCGCTCACGCCTACATTTCCCATTTTGGCTCCCTCTGCCCTTCCCCTTTTTCCTGGGGCTCATCTGCTGTGCTGACAAAGTGAGCTTGATTCTCATGGCCCTCCTGGTTGCCCTGGGCTTGCTTTCTCCAACATCATATTGAGTTTTGCCTTGTTGGCCTAGGAATGCACCATTCGTAGTATTTGGGGAGAGGGACTTTGAAACAACTTCCGCAACAATATGAGCGAGAGTGCAGACCACTTCAAATGGCAACCCGTTGATAGCGCTCCATGCCTCCATTGTGTAATCCTATAAATCATCCTCATCCAGATTGCTTAGTCTTTGTATGAGCGCCTTTGGTGCTTCCAGACCAGGGTTAGATCCAGATTTACGCTAGACTGACCATGTTGGCAGAAGCGGACTTCTCTACCACACTCTTTTACAGCAGCCTCGCCAACCTCCTTGAGGCCCCATCGGTGCGGGTGTTCAAGGATAGGCTGGACGTCCACATGGTGGGCATGTCGTGAGCAGAGCCAGCTGGTGCCAGAGGTCAGACTAGACTGGGAGGCCCCTTCTGACTCGCTCTGTTTTCTGTGTTTCTATGAAATGCTACCCGGAGAGACAGGAGCCCTGGCTGAATGGCGTGAGTGGAGAAGGAGGGATCACCAAAAATCAGGAGGAGGGACCTTCCATGAGCAGGTCCCTTCCTCTTACAGAAGGCAGGTCCTAGATCCTACCCGTTGTTTTTATTGGGCAATTTCCTTGCCCTATTCATAGCTTTTTACAGGCGGTCCAAAGAACATTGTCAAAAAACATCTGCAGCCTTGCTCATCATTTCCTCCACCCTTTTTCTCACTATAGAAAATCCGGTAAGTTGGTTCTAGACAGAATAGCTCCGCAGTGTCATTTGCTTGTTAGCTCCAGGAGCTTTTCCATCTCAAAGCACCAAGCACATTTAATTTGAGAATGACTCCTTTTGGAAACAATGGGATTTCATGTCAGCCCAGCCTTATGAAAATGGCATTTCTGCTCTTCAAAACTTCTGATTAACTAAAAGCTTTGGATACCCTCTGGGGTAACTCAATCAATGTTTTTGTGCAGTATCACGCATCCAGGACATTGCTAAGGTTAATCGACACTCTGTGGAGTACATTATTGGTCTCAAATTTGATTTAGCATTCCAAGCTCACCTTGAAAGCTCCAGCGATAAGTATTCAAAGGTAAATATTTCGACACAACCAGGGGCACAGAGCTAGCAAACCAGTCCGTGGGAAGATGGTCAAGGAGCTGATCCAACTGCTAAGGGAAAGCACAAGCTGTTGCCTTCAGGTGAATTGGAATGGATGCCTGCCTTAACACAGATGTGGCCTCTAATCTCAGACCAATTAGAGACCTGGGTCTACTTACAGGCTCTGCCCAGGACTTCGCAAAGTTCTGACATCTTTGATATCAGCAAGAGTTCCTCTGCTTTATGGGTCTCATCTGTCTCAGCTATTAATTCTATCCATCCCATATCATATGAATCAGAAACTAATCATTTGCTGACCTGGTGTAATAAGTGGGATCTCCAGTATGATTCTTCCCACCTTCCTGCTCCTGCTGATTTTTATTTCTTCAAGGGTTTTTGTTGTTGTTGTTTAAGAACTTTATTTTAGTAACCAAATAGTTAGCCTGCTGCAAAGCAAGGCACTGCCTTCCCAAGGCCATCTTTAGTTGGATTTAAAAGTCTGGCTTTAAGTTTTGGAGCTCAGTTCCCATCTCTGCCTTGCATGTAGGTTCTTGGAAAGTTGCTTTTCTGTTAGCCTTAGTTGGCCTTATGGAAAATTTGTTTTTTGTGATCAGTCCCGGCAGCCATTTTATGAATGGGTAAGCCTATCAAATCACAGTCTGCAATACTTTCTCAAAATTCTAAATGTATCCAATTGCTTGGGAGACCCTGCTTTATTTTTTGTGCAGAATTAGGAATCCCTGGCTGTGGAATCCAACCTGCAGTCATCAATGTCTGAATAAGTCGCTGTATTGCATTGGCTTCATTTGACATTCTGGCGAGGGAAAGATTTAAAATGACTCTGAACCATGCTAAAGCTTAAGGAGAGGATTTTAGATCTCACATCCATCTCCACCAGTATTTTCAGCAAAGACAGACTTCAAACAATATTGAAAAAGCTCCTGATTCCATCTGCTTTGGAACACTGGAGCCAGGCGGAAAGAACAAAACACAGACTATTATTTGTCCTGTTTCTCTATTTATTCTTTCATTGAGCAAGGGGATTCTTTCAATCTGCTCTTTTTGCTTTCATCAATAACAGTGAAACAAGCTACCCTTGTAGAGAATATGTTGGATTGATCTTGCAGTGTGTGTATATGTGAGAGAGAATACAAACTGCCGAATTCTCTGTGCATGTTTGTGCGTCCCTGTTTCCAAATTCCTTGCACGCAACTGTCAAACCCAAGCATTCTACCCACCCCGCAGACAAATTGTTATGCTAAACATTGCAAAGACCTACAAAATTAATCTCCAGCTGATTATTTTTGCTGAATAATCAGATCATCTTCATTCCTCCAGTCCTTCCTCCTCTGAATGCATAGTGAAGCCTTTCTGGAACATGAGAGTTTTCTCCTGCGATGCAGAACATTAATCCCAAGGAGAGCAACAACTCCTTATGCATATTTTATAGCAAACAAATGAACTCATAAAATGTTTATGGACTGTGCATACTGCAAAAAGTCATTGTATGATAATTTCAAGATGGCTTTGACCTGTGCAATCCACTTGAATATGATAATGCTGCGTGATTTGTCAGTCTTCTAATTGTGGTGCATGTTCATTATCAACTCGTTTAGCACATTCCTCAGCTCTGGGGTGGAAATGTACGCTGCCTTTCTCCAACGTTAAGAATACGGTGCCAGGCAAGGTTCTCTTCCTAGCAGGGAGCAAGGAATTTAAGCAAAGGTCAAGGAACTGAAGGCATCAGTGTCAACCACCCCTCTTGCCTTTGCGTCAATCCACCATCCTGGCCAGGATGCACATATTTGTTCGGGGTGGTACGCAAAGGTGGCCTTGCGAAAAGTGTGAAGATTCCACATCCCAACTCAGGGTTGCTGGGAAGAGGGCTGTGAATTGGTCCTAGCTTTCTCATTAGGGAAGGACAAATCTACCTGTTTTGATTTTGCTTAGTTTCTCATTTTTCCACTCTTAGATTCAGTTCATCTCAAACTTTGATCTTCAAGTCAGTTCATCCCAAACCTTGGGGGAAAAATAACGTTCACTTGAAAATGCATAAGCGTTGTTCGACATGTTCCTTCAGATTTTGACTAATATACGCCTACCATTTTTCTAACAGAATGCCCTTCTGAGCATTATTTTCCCTAATATCCACATTTCTGAATGTGTCTTTTTTTTACGTTGGAGAACTCCATGGGGTAATTTGGAAGTGTGAAATTAGACAAATTCTCATGTAAAGAAGAGCAGAATTCATTTTGCCCCATCCGTGTGCCTCATGAACTTGGAGTTGTTGGCTGAGGAGGGGCTCCCCCTGGCCCCATGCTGTGCTTTGGATGTTCAAATGCAGCCTTTCCCAGCTTTGACCTCTTGATAGTTTTGACTGTTTGCTCTTGATGGCTGGAGCTGATGGGATCTGAAGTTCAAAGGATCTGGAGGACACCAGCTGGGGAAGCCTCTTCTAGGCCTTCTAAAGCTCTCTCTCCCAACGAAGCAACCAGAAATTTTGATTGGGTACCAGGGTGGCCACAAAACATGGGGAAAGGGGTATGCAGATTCGCATGCATCCTTGAGAGAGCATCTTCTGCCTTCCCAACCTGCCTGGTCACTGAGCTCATCATTCTCCTGGTGGTTCCTCATGGACCTGTGACCTGACTGGAGACCACCCAGGGTAGAACCTTTGGGGTGGCTGCTCCCATGGAGCGCCCTGTCTCCAGATGCTAGACAGGCACCAAGGCTATGCTATTTGTGGAGCCTGCTGAAAACAGCCTTGCTGTACCCTTCCTTCCTTCCTTCCTTCCTTCCTTCCTTCCTTCCTTCCTTTTTTTTAAGACGGTGTTATATTCTTCTTTATCTTGCATTGTTCACAGCTCTGGAATCCATTTAGATGTGGAGTAGTATATCTGTGTTGTAAATAGATAAATGAGGTGCATGTGCTAATTTGTATATTTTGATTTATCATAATTGGAAATCATTATGATAATTCAAAATATAATGCATCTCACTAGAGTGGCCAGGTGATGGTACAGTCAGACACATGTCCATCCTTCTGGTTCCTGAAGCCAGCTAAAAAGTATAGACCCTGAATCATAAAATATGGACACTTGTCACTCCGACCCCTTTCACAAAAGGTCTTTCTGAGTTAGATTTTCCTTGGGAAAACCTTGCATTAGACACATATGCCTCACTTAGAAACTGCACCACCATCTCAGGGTGGGAGAAGACCTTCGGTTTTCGTCCTTCTACAGATCAGCAATCATCAGGGGCTATCTTGCTGTTCCGGCTGTAGGGAAAAGAATCCAAATGGCAAGGTTTTGGAGCCTCCCCCCCCCCCCCTCCTAAGAGGCCTGCAGTGGGAACTTGGCTGCCACCTTGTGAATCTTTGCAGATCAGTGGGAAAGGAAGATTGTGAGAACTCAGTGTGTCTTCAGCACATTTCTCCCCCTCCCCCTCTCCTTTCCAGCAGACCGAAATAAAAGCTTATAAAATGCATTTCTTTATTGGGGATTCACGGACACGGACAATGCCTCAGAGCGTCGTCTGTGAGAGCTGTGAACAAGTTGCATAAATCAAAGGAAGGGTCCCTCTGATCTGTGAGAAGAGTTTCTGCCCATGTGAAGAGTTGGTTCTAAAGGGCAACGACTCTCTCCTGCCTGCCTCCTCCAAGAGACCTGATTCCACCCTCGGGGGGCTCCCGCTGCTTGTGTCCCAAAGGGTGGGAATGCCAGCTGGGCCACCCATTTGGCCTGGGGCCACCTCGGCGGGTCCAGCAACACAAGCTCCTCCCCATCGTGTTCTGCTGGGTCTCCCCCGGCAGACAGAGAATCAAATCAGCATGACTTTCAATCTCACTTGCTAACTGGACCCTTCAGAGCACCACCCCCTCTTCCGTTTCCCTTTCCCTGTCTCACTTTCCCAGCCTGAACTGTCTGCCCAGGAATGCTGCACTGCTAGAAAACTGCACCCCATCTCTGCCCAGTGGGCCCAGCTCAGGGTCCTGTTTGGCAAGAGGAAAGTGAGGTTGTCACGGCGGGATGCGGCACTAAAGTGAGGGCAGCCTGCACGAGAAAAGTGGAGACTCTCCTTTGTTCAAAGCAGGGAGTAACCTTACCAGCCCCGGACCCAGCGATCCCTGACGTAAATTGTCAGGCAGAAGTGTCTGGGCCAGAAGTGCACCGTTTTAGAGCTTTCCACAACACTGGCATGAATTCAGTATTAAACACCAGCAACGATGCCTAGGAGCAGAAGTGGGTTGTTTACAATTGACCTGTGAACTATTTTACCACTTCACATTTTAAATTATTAGGGGGATAATGAATAACAGAGTCATTTATTTCCTGCTTGTTAGTTATGTTATTTCTTCAGCACTTAACCCAGTCCTAAGTGCTTTACAAAGAATAGAACAGATGGGACTTTACTGTAATGCTTTGCAAACAAAAGAAAGGCAGGGTGAGAAGTGGAAAGGCAAATTTCTGGAATATGATATAATGCTACAGCATGAATACGCACAGCGACGGCACAGAACGCCCACCGCGGGTGACAGGGTTGAGCGGGGAAGAGTTAATGCAGCAAGCAGTCCTGGCCAGATGGACGAAAAGGGTGCCCTTGCCCCCCATCTTGTTCTCCTGCTCTCAGGTGAGGTCTGCTTCCACAGAGCAGGGATGAAAATGAGGTAGACCTCCAGATGTTCTGGACTCCAGCTTCCAACATTCCAGACCATTGGCTGTGCTAGCCGCCGCATGTGGGGGTTGAAGTCCAAAACATCTGCAGGCCTCCCTTAAACCTCACCCTGTTCTACAGGATAAGCAACATCCAGATAGTCTCCCATTGGACCAGTGCATTCCCATGACTGGTGTCACATCAGGGAAACCAGGCAATATAATGTCTCATCTTGTGCTTCATTCTTCATTGTGGTCCTAAGCCTAAACAACGTTAGCACTCAGATGCCCTTCTTTGTTTTTTCAGCGAATACTACATAACGATGGTGAAATGGGCAACCAGTACCAAAGTTGCAGTAAACTGGTTAAACAGGGCCCAGAATGTTTCTATCCTTACCCTCTGTGATGTAACAACAGGAATCTGCACAAAGGTATCTCTGGTTATGTCTTCTTTCCCCATTTATAGCAGGTATCAGTTGCCCTGTAACTCAAGTTCACAAGCGCTTTGCAGCATAAAAACCAAATTATGAGTTCAATAACAAAGTGGGAAAAACATTCTTATTAATTGAATTTTTACATTTGTTTTCTTCGATGCTGCAGGCGTCTAAACGCTGACATTTTTCATGACAGCATTTGTAGTACTTTCCCATTCTGTTGTAAAGTCTGAACATTGTGTGCCACAAAACAGTTTGCAAAAGATACATATTATTAAACCAAGAAATATGCTTCAGATGGAGGGCAGAATCCCATGCATGTTTAGACAAAACAAGTCTTTAGTCCAAATAGGCATGGGATTGCACCCTGGATCCAGTGCACAGCCTGATCCAGTGTATTTGTTTACTTGGAAGCAAATCCCCCTGAGTTCAGCAGGGCTGATCATAAATAAATGTGCTTAGGCTTGCAGCGTTTACCCTTGCTGATGCTCAGCCTTCTCACATTGAAAGCGCACTCAGCGCTGTCTGCATTGTGCCCCCCAGAGATTTTCCCCATTCCCTGAGGCACATTATAAGGCCTTTAGCTCTCTCTTCCCCTGGGAAAATTGCAGCCCTATAGAACAAATGGGAATCAAATGTCTGTTGTAGATTCCTTCTCATCTCTTGCCTTCCTGCATTTTGGATCTGGCTCCCTAGCAGATCAGACCCCACTGCTCCTGCTAGAGCCTAAGAGCTGGCTGCCCGTTTCTGCTGCCAAAACATTACACAGTTTTGGCAACTGACTTGCCCACCGTCGTCCGATCTCTTTTCTATTTCCTGGGACTGGAAGCAGCTCAAGGCTAATTTACAAGAAGGCTGCAGTTTCCATTTTGCTCCAAGTTCTAATTTGCTGACCATGATGTGGAAGAAGATGGAAGGGCCAAGAAGAAGGTCCGTCTGTTACCTTCTGGGTCCCCTCTGCCTTTGCGCCCCTCCTTTCGATTCCTGAAATGAAGAGCAAGGTGGGGTCCTCTTCCAGTCCAGTACTGCCAGCCCAGTACGAACCCGACTGGCAGATGCATCGAGCTTCAGCAGTGATGATGGGGCAAGATGCCTCAGCGAGCCTGAAGGCAGGATCCTCCCACGCTTTGTTGCCACCTCCCACCATGTGTCACGTAAGGTGACCACTTCACCTGCCTAATGGAAGTTCCACCCTCACCTTCAGGCAGAGCCCAAGCAACTGATGAAACATGTGGTAGCTACTGAATTAGCAACTTCCCATTAATCACATGGATGCCTGCCATACTTTAAGGAAGCTCAGTTTAACCAAAGCAGAAAGACGGGAGAAGATGAGCTCATTCACAAGGCCGTCTCATGATGCCTGCTCAGATGGGTTCCGCTGCGCTTGCTCATCCAGTCCTGAAATTGAGTCAAATGGCTTTCTGCCTAGGTGGGCTACATTTATCGGAGGTAAACTGCGGTATAATATTTTAATTACGTTGCTTTGTTTCAGAAACATGTAGATGAGAGCACAGCCTGGCTGCACCGACAGGTAATAGTGATCTTTTCACCTGGATGAATCCTTCCCCCCATTTCTGTAATAAAAAAGAGAAGATTCTGCTCCCCACAGAAAAAGTAATTGATCACATTGACAGAGGAACATATGTAAAAGATGCAAATGAATGGTTCAATGCAAATAAACAGGGGTCTGAGATCTGGCCTCCCAGTCCCTTCCTATGAAATTCTTCCAGTTTGGTCTGAAAGAATTTCTGTCTCCATGATGAGAGGACAGTGTTGGCCGAGGAACGGGTAAACTGAACTTCGAGTCAACAAAGCTAGGCATAATTTTGGTCATATTCTTAATCAGGTCAGCAGTGCTTTGCATACACACCTGAAAGGTAATCTAGTTGTTACTCATAGCTAAGCAGTCAGCGTTATGTTCTGGGGTCATGCAGACATACTTCTGGATATCCACCAGCTCTCAGCTGGAGTAGCTACTATGGCAGCCTTCCCCAGCCTGGTATCTTCTAGATGTGTTGTGCCATGGCTTTGTTGGCTAGGAATATTGCTTGCAGTCCAGCACGGGTGGAGAGCACCCGACTGGGGAGGTCTGAATTATGCCACAAGAAGGTCAGAGTATGGTCTGAAGGCACAGAAGGCATCCGCCATATTGAAGCTAAGCGGGCTTGAGCCTGGCCTGAGCTTGGAGGGGAGACCACCTGGGAACCACATGTAGCCATCTTGAGTTCTACAGTGGGGGAAAGGTGGGATTTAAATATCATACATAAATAAACAAATAAAGAGGGGTAAGGTTGTTTGTGTTTGTAAAGGTAAATGACACTCATCGGGGCCAGTGGTGTGAATGCCGCAACTGGGAAGCATCTTGCCTTCCCTGAAAAGAGCAAGACTAACCAAAGATAAGTGTCTGAAATCAAACAGTTTTGTTCCTTCCTTCCCGGAGCCTGGAAAACGCACTTTTCCTATGGAACTGAAGCAGCTATTTCAGTCACCACATTCTTTTTGCCAAAATTTCCCTCCAGCTTTCTCTATTTCTAGCACCCAGGTTCTTAGCCATCAAGGAAGCAAGGGTATGATATTAATCACCAAGAATTTAATGGCATTTGACACAATCCCATGGATGAGCACAAACTGCTTTCCTAAGAAAAGTCTATGGGAATTGCATTTGACAGTACAGCTATTCCAAGCTTCTCGGGTTGACTAAGTGAGTGATTAATAAGTTATCTCCTTTCTATTTTACTCTCTCAGATCATCGAGTTGTAATAGCCCTACAAATTACTGCCCTGTAAATTTATAGCTTTTTTAAGTTCAGAAGGTAGTTTCGGAGTCCTTACACTCATGTATCCGTTTATGGCCACCTGTGTATTGCTATTCAGTCAAGGCCAATCCCGGCTAGGAGTGGGTGAGGAATTAATGAGCTCCTTGGGTGCTGGGGGGTGGGCGCTAAACACATTTACCTAATTTGCAGCTCCTGGGCCTTTAGGAAAACCAGGACAGCTGTGGGCACTGAAGCCTACATTTTTTGCCAACTCTGCGGTGCGTTTTCAGGACAGGGGTATGCAAAATGTATTTTTGGGCAAAGCACCACGAGGCTGCATTCCAGCAGTGTGAAGCACTTGGGGAAATGCATACTTCTAAAAATGTGCACCAAAATTGAGGGGAACGTGCACAAAGGGTAAAGATTTGCACAGGATTTCTTTTCTTTTAATGAAACACTCGGGTACAAATGGGATCGCTCTTTAAGACGAGGGCATTCATGGCAAGACTGAGAATGACCCATTGGCCATCCCCGGCCCTGCATACCTGGACTGCGGCTGTTGTCGCTGCTGCGGCAGTGCTGAGGGCCAGTGGGAGACGGTCCCAGGAACAAACACTGGGCCTCTCCACATAGGGCTAGGAAAAGCTCGTGCCCTGGAGAGCTGCTGCCAGTCAGTGTCAATAACAGTGGGCTCGATGGACCAGTTTCTGCCTTGGTGTAGGGAGCTTATAAATATTAAATTCCATTAAAAGATGGCCCACGGAAGGTGGACATCAAATGGAAAGATGCCAACCGTGCTGCTGTGGATAGGACTGTTTGTGAGAAGCTTGCTGCCCAGTGCGCTTCACGTGAAAGGACCTGAGGAGGAGGGGGGTGGGGGGAAGCTTCCCGTGTTCCTGGGACACTCGGCAGATAAGAGGCTGCTGCAGCCCTGGCTGGACCACCCTATGCAGATGTGCTGCGGAACTGCCTTGGTTTGGGCTGCCGCTGGACATTGTGTGTGTCCTCTGATGACAGAACAGTTCGGTGAAGCTAAACTTTGATCCGGGAGACAACAGAGGGAAGGAAGAGGAATGGAGGTCTGAGGACAGGGAGGATATGCACTCTGGCCAGTCACAAGGTGCCTTAGGGGATTCTCTGCCATGGTGTAAAAAGGAGCAACCCTAAAATTGAGGTGGGTCCCTGAGCCCAGGTCACTCCTGTTGGGAGCAATGGGTAAGAGGTTCTCCTCCTCGGATCCCATGGAAATGAAGTGGGAAGGCAAGAGGCAGACTGAGTATTTCTTAGAGATGCCACTGCATTTAGGGTTCAATCCCATGCTTGTTTAGAAATTAACAACCGTATGGATCTAAACACACATAGGATTGTGCCTTTAATCACTGATACATTTTATATTCCACCTCTCGTGAAATAAAGACACCCTACGCATGGATTCTTGTGCCATGTTGAGTGCGTGGAAGGTGCCCCAGGCCTGGCCTTGCTACTGTGGTTTGATCTTGGCCCTGTCAAGCTCGTCTCAGTTTTAGGCTGCAGCTCAATCCAGTGGCCGCTAAGGCGCGCCATCTCCTTCTGCCGTGCAAAGAGAGTGCCAGCCAAACGGAACAGGAATGTGCTGCTCAGGACTTCTGCCAGTTTTCATTCTGCAGGGTGGCAGAAGAGACGACGGCTATCCATGGCTTCTATTAAATAATGTAATTCATGCCATGTAATTTTCAGTAAAGCCTGCGAATGAGACTCATTAGCGGGCGCATCACACTGTGACGATGCAACTTCAGCGGGGAGACATAAGCACAGACTTAGCATGAAACGTGTGCAGTGAAGGTCTTTTCTGATAAAGGAGAGCAGAAGGGGCCATTAGAAGGCGACAGTAAGGAGCCCGTGGGAAGGAAGGGAGACAGACGGATCCCTGCAGAATGTCTTTTCTCTGCCATTTTGCAGGGAGGGTTGTGGGCTGGTGACAAGTGCATGGATTGGGGCCAGGCCATTAAGTCAGAACTTCCATGGGTCTACTTACCATTCCCCTCAAGTCCAGTTTGCCATGCCTATTGATGGGATCGCATACATACCCCTCTTTTCTGCCGTTGTGGAACTTCATGGGGGAGTCCCATGGAGCTGGTCTCCCCTCCAGGCACTGCTCAGATGCAGACCTGCTTAGCTTCAGCAAGGTAGTGGCTTCATATGCCTTCTGGCCATGCCATTGGGCTATGGTGGATGCAGTGGATGCTCTAAAGTAGGGGTGTCTTTCAGCCCAAGGAACAAATTCACTTATGGTGAAACTCTTGTTACGCAAACAAGCTAGAAGAGAAACAAGCATCACAATTCACCACAGCAGACAATGGTGTGCATGCAGCAAACTCAACCACGGATGACAGTGTGACTCAGCCACAAACACTGCCAAAAGAGTTTGTCTGAACTGGCAAGTCCTAGGGCCAGTGGCGAACTGGAAACAGAAACCGTGGTTTGCAAGACTTGGACCTGCAGACCATGGTTCATGGTGACTGTGGCTTAGCCTGATGTCTGAAGAGACGCACTCTACTTTCAGCCATTGCTCCATCTCTGGAGGCCCAGCTGTTGCACCTTAGCAGTGCAAGTGCTGAGCAGATGGGAAGTGAAAGTAGGTAAGCCTCTCTAAACCATCGCTTGCCTTTCCATTTGGTAGCTCAAACCTTGGTTTTGAACAATGAGCAGTGAACAGCATGACTATAGAAGCAGGGTTACAGGGAAGCCCACCAGGGCTGCAGCCTTGAACCTTTCTTTTGGAACCCCGAATCTCAGGGTAATTTCTATCGCCTCTGATTTTGCTGGCATGTGTGTTGCCTCCTGCTACCTCTCTGCCTTGGATATTTCTCCCTAAAGTATTTTCGGAAACCAAATGCCCTGTCCATGCCTTTCTTTTTTACTAATGGGGATGTCAGCCTCTGTAAATTAGCATATGCAGGTGCAGGTGCTCACTTTCTTGTGTTTATGTCTCAACCGACTCAATCCAATTGCCTGTTTTTTGTGGAGGGCGAGCACATGGCTAAAGGACCAAGTCTGGTTTGGTTGTTGCAGCTTAACAGGCCAGCCTTGGGCAGAAATGAAGCCTCAAGCTGCAAAATCTTTGAACAAAAGTCTCTAGTTGAAATGCCTTTCAGCTGTTTTTTGCCAGATACTTTGCCAAAAGTGTAATACTCTGGAAACCAGATTGCTGTGATGCCTCAAATCCCCTCTCGGTTTCCTTCCTTGACAAGTGGTGCTCAGTCCACAAGAACCACCATGTTCTGCGTATAGTTCTCAGTCAAGAGCCACTGAATGCAGAAAGGGATCCTGGGGGAGAAACCCAGGTATTATGGCTGGGCACTGAGAGCTCTTTACTTATTTAAATAGTTTCATCTCACTCCCCACCCAAAAGGCCTGCTGGAGTGGTTTACATTCTGACGCAGAAAAACAAGATAGTCCCTGCTCACAGGATTATGATCTAAAAAGGCGCAGCACCCGGGGAAGAAGGAATGGGGAGAGGAGAGGGCACACGCAAGGTCCCACCCAGTTCCAGAAGGTCCCCTGGGCCTGCGGCCAAGCTTGCAGATCGGTCTCCTCTAGGCTGGTGCCTCCAGATGCTCTGCATCAGCTGCAGCTTGCAAGGCCAGGCTCAGGGCTGTTGGGCCAATGTTTGCCAGGGAAACACTCTGTGAGTGTGATGTGTGTGCAGGTGATCTTTAAGAGAGAGGGAGAGAGAGAGTGTGTGTGCAGCAGCTGCCTCCCCAGGAGAATCCCGTTGTTGCCCTCAGGGCCACGATGCTTGTGCACTCCTGGACTACTCTGAATTGCAAAGATGAAGTATTTTGCTGAGCTGGTGGCTGGCGGCCTGTGCCCAGCAGAGTTAGGGAGTGCCAAGGCATTAGAGAGCACCATGGTTCTCTCTAGAGGGTTTTGCTTAAGCCTCTTGCATATTTACTGTCGTACCATTTCCAACTTTCTCGCGTTTGCAGAACGAAGAGCCAGTCTTCTCCAAAGATGGCAAGATCTTCTTCTTTATCCGAGCCATTCCTCAGGGCGGGCGGGGCGACTTCTACCACATCGCGATGTCCTCATCGCAGGTGAGACAAGCCTTTGCAGCTGATACATTGATAGCGCATGTAGTGACGGGAAACCTGGGAGAGCGTCTGCCAATCAGGATTGGACGAGATGCACCAAGGGCAGTTTTCTCTGTTCCTAATGGATACACAGTGGCTCCTATGATGCTGCCACATGCATACCTTTGAATGCATCACACCTGAAACATGCTGAGGAGATCTGGATCTTTTCAAGACAGGGACTTTGGAAGAGTGGTTTTGTATTTAATGAGCCTTTCTTACAGGGTGGTTGTGATGGTCAATTAGCAGCAGGAGGGCCAGGTATGCCTGGCACAGTTGGGAGAAGATCTGTGCATGCGCTGGTAGACAGGTGCATGACCAGAGGTGAGAACGTGGCCACACTCACCTCACCTGCCTTTGCCTCATTTCAGCCACACTTGCCTTCGACATCAGGCAGCAGCTCCCACCTGGAACTCTCCAGGGGTCTTGGACTGTAATGCCCATCATTCCCAGCTGGCATGGCTGTGGGCAGCACAAGAGGGAGGCTTCCCTCATGGGACAGAGGATGCACAGCCTTAGAGTGGGTTTGCCACTTAGACCCCCAAGTCTTGGGAAAACAAGCATCATATTTTAACCAGCGGGGGTCCCTTTTGAAACTCAGCTTTTTCTTCTCTTTCTTGGCAGCCCAACAGTAGCAATGATAACTTGCAGTCTATTACGTCAGGTGATTGGGACGTGACCAAGATTTTGGGATATGATGAGAAGCAGCATAAAATGTAAGTATTTTATAGATATATAAACTGTCAGGCAATATTCCCGCGTGGGTAATCCCTCAAGTGCTGTATCTCCACTTCTCTCTTTCCGATATCCCTTTTCCTGCCTCTCCTTTGTTCTTACACAGCCAACTTCCTGGCAGGCAGACGCTAAATGCATTTGCTGGAGCGCACAAGCAGCGGGCTTGGAAATTTGGCCAGTTGCTGCATGAAATTAGTCTGCGGGCTGCACGCAGCTCTCAGGCCCTGTGTTACGCATCCCTGTTTCCAAAGGGCGGCTAATGCCAGCCACCAGTGACTCTCTGGGATTTACAGGTGGGAATGCTGAGCTATGGGAGGTTATCTAGCCCAGAGTGCATTGCTTTGGACGGAGACCTGGGAGATCTGTGCTGAAGTACAGAAGCCATAAGAATGCAAGACTCCCTGGAGAAGACAATCATGTTAGGGAAAGTCAAAGACAGGAGAAGGAAAGGAGGACCGGACATGAGATGGACGCTGTGAAGGAAGCCACAGCCCTGAATTCACAGGAGTTGAGCAGGATTGTCAAGGACAGGAGCTGAGCATGGGTTGAGTGCAAGTCGGCATGCTGTCTGAATCCAGCTATGCTAACCATAAAAAGAAGCCATGGTTTGTTTTTGGGTTGTGAAATGTAGGTTGTTCAGGCTTGTTATCTCACCCGCGTTCTGACAGCACCATAAACCACATTTCAACAACAGCCCACACCCGACCCATACTCAGCCCTTTAGTATCCTGTTATCTGAACCCAGTCAGTGTGAGCTGGGCTGAGGAGGGAATTGCTGAGCACCTCACATGGGTTTTCTGAAGCATCAGGATTAATATTGGTACAATGGACAACTTTTGGGTATTGCTTTTGTAGCTATTGAATAATGCCTTAGTCGTTTTCAAATGACAGCTGGAAGGCTGCAGCTAATTTGGCCCGTTTAATTGCACACAGATAGCAATTTCCGTCTCATTTTGACAAGCGTATCATGTGCCCAACTGCAATTTGTGAACGTGTTGAATTTTCTTTGACAGCTATTTCTAAATCTGAAAAATTCTGCATGAGACCTTTGCTGCGTGATCTCCAGCCCTTCACGTTTACCCAAACAGCTTTGTGCAGAGGGCCCTGCCCGGCCTTTGGGAGCCTGTGCAGTTGCAGAGGCCTGACAAAGTAGACAGGAAAAACATGAGCCCAGGCAAAAAAATATGTGAGGCTGGATCCACGGATTAATCATGCTTTGGCCCCGTTTAAAGCAATATGGCTTTAACTCCACAGTCTTCCACATGGCTACTCCTAAGTAAGTCCCACTGTGTTAAATAGCCTAACTTGAGCCTTTTGTTACCCAGTGAGAGCAGAGCTGCCTTCCCCAACCTGGTACCTTCCAGATTTGCATCCCATAATCTCCAGCCATTCCTGGAAATGTGCAGACCAACCTTTCGAAAAGGCATCAGACTGAGGGAAGCCAGAGTCAAGCTGATAAACTTGGTCCAGATTGAACCCCTAAGAAAATGTCGCTTCTAAAAATGCTGACTCCTTCCTTCTGCTCCTTCTGTTGCTCCCAAAGGGCAGGAAATGAGATAAGCAAACAATAAATGAGGCCCTCAGTCAGCTGCTGGTGGGCTGTAGGATTGTGCAGATGTGCATTTCCGCCAGAACTGTTCTTTCTGCATCAGTTGAGTCCCTGCTGGTGGGTTTTTTCACAGCACTAGCAGTAAAAAGAGTTGATCCTGGGAGCAGACCAGGAGAAGTTTTGGTTTCTTCCAAAGTAATGCTCTCTCATCCCTCCAACACTCCCATGGAAAGGGCAAGTTGCAGACCAGCCAGCGTTCCCCACCCAATTCATTCCTTTTGCTTGCCTGGCAGTTCCTCTGCCGTAGAGTCTCTCCATTGCCACTTCGGAATCACTAGCTTGTGGCCTTGAGGACTAGAGACCTATATTTTTGTTTTTCTTGCTAAGAGAGATAAAAACTGGAATGAGCAAGATGTTAACTACAGAACAGTCTTCTCCAACCTGGAGCAGTTCAGCATGGCGTGCTGGCTAGGAATGATGGGAACTGCAGTCCAACTCATCTGGAAGGCACCAGGTTGATTAAGCTGGACTAGAAGCTATAAGATGTTAGAAGAATGTTTCTGGGGTTTATTTCCCACTTCTATTTTAATGAAAATTTACATCTATGTAGATAACACAGATGAAATACTGTTCCTAAAAGTCTAGTTATATTTTATGTCCATTTTATTTTAGCTATTTCCTCAGCACAGAAGAGTCACCAAGGACACGACATTTATACAGGTATGATTTATTTTAAGCCAAGAGACAATTTTTAGATTATTTCCCTGAAAGAGGCCGTTGAGGTTTTCTCATGCCCGAGCGGATTCATCACAAAGTGAGTAATGTGCACAACTCTGTCAGAAAGTGAAGATTTTGCAATCCCTTTTCAAAACCTTCAGATGGGCTTGGTTGTGTTTTGTGCCTTTGTTTTGACAAAATGAACAAACTGGTATAGATTTTGTACCAATGGAAGCAGAAAGATCTGAATCATTTCAGCCTCCCCTTTTCTTGTCGCTTTTAGGAACAGTTTGCATCACCAGTTTGCACTTGGTGCTCACCAGCTTCCCTGCCCCTCTGGATTTACATCTTACTCTGCTGATGTTTTTAAATTATGTTTTAACTGGGAACCTTTGCACTCAAAAGACTTGTGTTTCGGAGCAACTGCCCTCCCCTCGGTGTTGTACCTCAGCTCTTGGGCAAATTTCTCCTGATTGTCTTCCAGGGAAAAAATGCTTTGCGTCCCATCATGGCAGCCTTTTTGTGTGACTATGCACAACGCTTCCTTACAAAGCCAAATATGCCCACCCATCCAGAGAGGTCATGACCCCATCACAGCCATGGTTGTCATCCCACGTGCTCTGAGACCAACTTCAGCTGCGTATGGAAAACATACGGAGATTCCTTATATCCACCTTCCCCAACCTGATCGAACCCAGATGTGTTGGGTTGCACCTCCATTTCCACAGTTGGTGGGCCAAGGATGATGGGTGCTACAATGCAAGTTATCCCCAGGATGCCCTTTTGGAGGAGGGTGTCTTATACCAGTTCTGCCCATCTCTGGGCATTTTCCATCACCTGCTACATGGCCCCAACATTTAGCCAGAGATCTTAGGGACCAAACCTGGGCCTAGCTATGTATCAGAATATCATTTCAGTTCACAATTCCCTGAAAAAATACTCTGATCTCCAGAAATGTTTGCAACTTCCCAAACGTGCCTTCTTTTTTGCAAAATAGGTGCTTGAAAAATGCAAAGCTTTCTCAGAGTGCACTAAATTCTCAAAACACATAACTTACAGTATGGAAGTTTCTCACAATGCACACATGTAAATCATCCATAGTCTGTGGGAGAATTCTGCACTTTTGGCATCAAACCTCCCATCTCTTGGCCAAGGGGACACTGGCCACACGCCTGTCCCTGGCCAAGACACCAGGCACCTTCCTATGTTCTCCAAGCTGGTCTGCTCCAAGCTGCCTCTGCTTCCTGGCACTCCAGACATGTCACTGCCTTCCCCTTTTCTCTTTCAGTGCCAGCACCAAAGGGACCTTCAACAGGCAGTGCCTCTCCTGCGATCTGATTAACAACTGCACATACTTCAGCGCCTCGTTCAGCCACAACATGGCATATTTCATATTGACGTGTGAAGGTAGGCTTTGGGCTTTATCGGGGGGCGGGGGGTGGGACTGGCTGAACTGAGCCCAGAGAAGGGCATGGCATGCAGGTTGCTGAAGAACCAGCGCCTGCACGTCAGTCTTGTGCAAGTGTCTTGAAAGCTTCCCCTGCTTTCCAGCCCGGCACCCTGCAGGTGTTTTGGACATCTCCTCCCATCAGCCCCAGACAGCATGCTGGGGGTCAGGATTACTGGGAGTTGTTGTCCAATGCATTTGGGGAAGGCTGTTCTGGGGTGTAGGAAGTAGAACCTAATTCGTGGAGATCTGGGGTGAACCCCCATTGATGCGTTCCATACCCTACCCCAGTTTCTAGTCGCCATAACTCAGCAAGTCATGTGAATAGTTGGCATCTTCTCAGGACAATTTGGCTGAGGTATTCAGCCCTCTTGTGGGTCAGTCACTGGTGCAGCTGGGACGGGACTTCGGGGCCAATGACCCTGATGGGCATCCGAGAGCAAAAGTGCTACTCCTGCAGGCACAGTGGTCCCATGTTTTAAGGAAGTCTAACGACCCAATCTCATACCGTGCTGGCTCAGGCGTGCTGGCAGCTGTAGGGCTTTTTTCTGTCTAAACTTTCATAGGATTGCACCATAAACTTGCCTAAGATCGCACGTTTTTCATCAGGGCTGGCCAACAGTGGTGTTGCTGTTCTTCTAAAATTACCAGGAATATCAAAGCCATTTAGAGTGTGGAATGGAAGTTGAAGCAGGTGAAGAGAAAGGTGTGTTGTGTCCTTCACAATGGGAGAAATACCCATGGCCATCTGAAGTGCCCCCTCATAAGACCATGAAGTCCCGGTCTAGAAGATCAGTGGGCTGAATTGTTCAAGATCTGTTTTCAACCATTCATTGAGAAGTTTGAGAAGACATGGCAGCCAGAAGTTTCAGGAAGGAGTGAGAAGTTTGGAGAAGTTCCTCAGTGTGGAGGATGAGGTTGTCTTCCCTACTGGAAGGAGAAGACTGAGGCTAGGGGGGGGGGGTCCTTGTTTATTGTTGGTTTTACCATTTTTCTCCAGCTCTGCTCTTGCAGCATCTTTGGCTGCTGATGCTTCCAAGGAATCCCCTCAAGGACTTCCTTCTTCCTTTCTGGTGGAGCTGCCTGAAGGCTGAGTGAGGTGCGGCGGGTGGCGTGTTATTGCTTAGGATTCAGGCATTTGGCAGGACCAGGAAGCCCCAAGTCCTGCAGGCTTTTCAAGCAGATGGAAAGGCTGGAAGGACAGAACAGAGTAGACAAAGTGCCCCCACCTTCAGCCACCTCCTCGCAGCGGGGTAAGAGCTGAAGACCCTGCACTGAGCAGGGATTCAAAGATCCCAAGATGCCTGCAAAAGAGGCAGGAAAACAAGTGCTTTTTCCACGGGGAGCCACCAGGAGCTTACAAAACACCTGGCAGGATTTCGGCACTCCGCTAATCTAAAATGTCCAAGGTTTTCACTGGGTTAGGTTTTCGGTTTCGGATGGAGGATGAACAAAGGCATGCTATGTGACTGACATTGCAGAAATGCTTTGTGGAGTTGGATGGAAAGGCTGAGGTTAAACTCTGTTGGGTTTCAGTGGGATTACTTCTGAGCAAGCATGCACAGGATAGGGCTGTAAATGTCAACATTGTTGCTGGCAAGAAGGGCCTCTGTAACTCGCAGAGACTGAATGCGTCCCCCAAGCAAACCCACGTGGTTGTTCCTTCCTGGCTCGAAATTGGTGTCACTGTTAGCATAAAATACAGTCTGGCTGCAAGGCTCACATTTATGGAACCCTCCTGCAGCCAGAGCTCTCCAGCTTTTGCAATTCATTCTTCCTCGTTTTGCTCCGTTGGAAATGCTTAATAGAGACAGAGTATGCATGTCTTTAAGAATAACTGCTTCTTTAAAAAATTAAATGTTATTTGGTACTGATTTGCCTTTTTTCTCCAAAGTGGAGCAAAACTGGATGGCCGTGTTGGCCCATTAGAACAAAAGCATCCAGGCTCTCTTTGCAGGCAAACATGAGCAAAGACTGGTACCATGGTTGATCGGAGTACTTTGTTCCAGCAGTCTTTAAAGACTGCTTTTTCATGAAGAATCTGAAGAAGTGAAACTCCCAGGCCTGAACATAAGTTTATGAGCATTGCTCATAGTAAAGGCATTTCTTCACTGATGCTGTGAATTTGGTTCTAATGTGTCATCGTTGGCTGGCGCTGCTAAATGTTTACTATTATGCAAATATAGGGTCATCAGCTCCCTACTTGTCTCTATCACCATCATGAGAAGGAAAGCAGAAGTGTTCGTGTCCGTGTTTAACTATAATTTAGCTTTATGTCTGAATCAGATAAACTGTGGTTAGGCAGCATAAACCCTAACTATGGTTTATGGCCACCTTTCCCTGGTACATGTTGGCTGGACAATGTTGGGAGTTTCTAGTCCATGGAAGGTACCATGTTGGAGAAAATTGGTTTAGGGAAACAAACAAACATCAAGCCATGGTTTATGAAGTTGGTTTCCATAAATCATAGTTAGGATTAATCACAGTTTAGAGGTCAGATGTATGATACAGTTAGCTGAAAATGGAAGTGAAAACTCCAGTTGAAAGAAAAGAGAGCATGAGCACAAGGCCATCATTTAGCATCGTCCCACCAGGCCATAATGTCCAGAGAAACTCTCAGGTGGGAAATATCGAGGAACTCTCAATTTTTTTATTGTTATATTGTTATTATTTATGTAGTTATGTATTTGTTTCTGTTGTGAGCTGCCCCGAGGCTTCGTTGCGATGGGGATGGCATAAAAACGTTTTAAATAAATAAATAGTACAAAGTACTTCTAGAGATATCTGATGCCAGACTTGGAATTCGATGCAGACCTCTTTTCTAGCCTGCTGCTGCATCACTGGAAGGTTTCTGCTTCCTCTAAGAGATCATTCATTTGATCGTTATAAAATATTTCATTGTGGTGTGAAGCATCATTAATTTAATGTAAATTACCCCTAATTGCTCACTGACATGCCGATGGGTGGGGGAATAGGAAACTGAGAAGAACAATCAGTGGCTTCCAGCTTAGCCTGACTCTCGCCGGGAGCCTGGGAGGTTTTCTCCCATGTCAGTGACCAGAACGGACAATTCTGCAGAGAAGCAGTGTCTGCTGACTGCAGAGGTAAATGTTTAAGAGGGGAACTGTGGAAAATGGTGCAACAGAGCTGCACTGCCTAAGTTTTGGTGAGTGGGCAGAGTAGAGTTAATTAATTCATTAATTAATTGAGACAAAGATTTGAGCCCAGTGATGAATCTGAGGGCAAACAAGGCCTTGCTTTGTTTCCCATTTGTCTGGAACTGAATTAAGCAAGTTTTCCCACTGATTTCGCCACTGCCCTGCCTGCCAGCATTGGAGACGATTCTGGCAGATGCCCTAAGAGGTGCCATCAGTTAATTTAAAGTGTTGGTCAAGACCTTATTGCATGAACAGCACTGCAGGGGTGTGTCGACTTCAGGCTAGGCTTCTCCAGCATAGCACCTTCCAGGAAGTGGGACTACAGCTCCAAGCCTGGCTGGATGGGGGAACATGGTAATTGTAGTCCAGTGCATCTGGAGGCCACCAGCTTGGGGAAGGTCACTTTAAGTTTGTGAGAGCTGCTTTGCTTTCCACTAGAACCTGGAGGTGCAAAACTGCAGCTTGGGAAGAGCCTCATGTTGTTGTAGAACCAGGTGGCTCTAGACATAGGATCCGCCTTGGTTTTCGGTTGCAGAGCGGAGCTCGCACACAAGTCCATTCACACCCTTATCACACACTTGTCTCCCCAGGATGCTTTCATTTCAGCAGTCTAATTTAGGCGGATAATAATTCCCGACAATTGTACTTCTGTGGTGAGAGCACTGAGAGCTCTCCTGGGGTTCCCAAGTTCCTCCTGCTCCCAAGCGGCCCAGGGGGAAGAGCCACTGTGAAACCGGTTTAATTGGTTGCACAGCTTTGCTCCACATGTTCTGATCCTCTTCCGAAGCAGAAGATGATCACAGCTACTGAAACTTCGTGCCCCCAATAACAAAATGGGAGAAATTGCAAGGTGGCATCACACATGTTCTGAGAATAGGATGGCGAGGGGTGTTTATTTCCAGAAGCTGATAAAAGACCTTGGCTGAACTCTTTACTCTTGGGTGCGTAAGTGCAGATGTTCCTAAAGATTTAGAGATTTGAGAAGAGCTGCATCATTCGCCTTCAGTTCCAGCCGGACTCTTTATTAGGTGTCATGTTTTCTGATTTCAACAGACCCATTTAACATTTGATAAATGCTGCATGAATATTAAATCTCTGTGCCTGTAAATTTACTAGTGGGGAAAACAGTTCTGAGAAAAATGGGAATTTATAATGTAGGTTGCATGTTTAGTTTAAAGATGAAAAGACCTAAAGCGGATTAGTTGTTGCATTTCTTCGGGAATGTGAAATGTCAAGTTACAGAAAATCAACATCATTTGTGTGACCTGCAGATTTTATATAAAAAGAATACTGAGGATGCAGCTGTCTATTTATTCATTCTGAGATTTTGGTCTCTTGGTTCTAAAGTACTGTACAGCAAGGAATTTTGCTCCAGGTGGTGTGCAAACCTCAGTTTTATCCTCACAACAACAGCTGACTGACCCAAAGTCACTTAAAGGTAAAGGTAAAGGTTTCCCCTTGGTGTTGAGTCCAGTCATGCCTGACTCTAGGGGGCGGTGCTCATCTCCGTTTCCTGGCCGAGGGAGCCAGCGTTTGTCTGCAGACAGTCTCCGTGCTCATGTGGCCGGCATGGCTAAACACCGAAGTGCACGGAACGCTGTTACCTGCCCACCGAAGTGGTACCTTTTTATCTACTTGCATTTGCATGCTTTCAAACTGCAAGGTTGGCAGGAGCTGGGACGGAGCAATGGGAACTCACCCCATTGTGCAGATTCGAACCGGCGACCTTTCGATCTACCAGCCCAGCAGTTTAAACCACTGCACCACCTGCAGTCCCACTTAAAATCACTTACTGAGTTTCA